GTAAGCCTCGAAGCTTTCATGGTTCGCTGCCAAAGTAAAAGACGTATGTGGAACTGCCATCTCCGAGAGAGATCTCCCTTTTCTTTTTCTTCTATTTTTTAAGTTCAAGTTCCAAGTTTTTATATTCGAATGTTTTCCGTTGGGATTGGACAGGGTTTGGGGGAAGGGAACGCGCCCTTTAATCCTATCCAGGCTGTATTTGTACGCCGACAAGGAAATCCGTTGCGTTTTATCCGCCACGCAACGCTCGCCTTTTATCACGCGAGCGCAAATGGAACGCCAGCTGTGCTGTTGCCCTGATTACTAGAACGGCATGAGCGCGCGCACACACACACACACACACACACACACACACACACACACACACACACACACACACACACACACACACACACACACACACACACACACACACACACACACACAATCAGCAGCTCTAACGAGATCATCGCGCCGATGCACACCGTGCATTTTCTTTACAAATTAGAAAGCGATATCAGACCACGATGATGAAATTAGAGGAGACGATTCTTTTAGCGAGAACTTAGCTCGTTTTACGTTCGGCGCAAAGCCAAAAGTGGAGCAACGTGCGTAGTCCCGAGATAACTTCATTATCACAGGTTAAAGTTTTTATACGGCTTCGATGCGATGCGATTTTATGCATATATTATATTGTTGCGTCCGTGGAAGAAATCGGAGATGCGCATCGGGAGCGTCGATATATCGTTATCGTTTCCGGAAATATTATCTTCCCGAAAAACGTAACGTGATATTTGAAAAATTACAATTTCGAAATCGTCGATGCGAAAACGCTCCGAATCTCGAAAATACTTTATTTTTAAATCGCGGATATGCGCTCTCCTCGATATTTGCTCACAGATTTGTTACAGAATATTATTCTACAATATTTGTCCATTTTCAATTTCGAGATTTAAAATTTTTAAACATATATATGCCGCAAAATACTTATATGTAATATATACTTATATGTAAAACATTTATAAATGTACTGTATCATTCTAAAAAGTTTTGTAGAGCATAATAATTTGTCACTTTTATGATTTTTATTAGTTTATTAGTTTCTTGTATGTTTTTACTTCTTTTACATTTTACATATTGCGATTACATGTATTATTTACATGTATTACTTTTATAATATATGCAAATTAATCTCCAATTTTGTTATAATATATTAAATAAAGAAAATATTTCTTCCAGTTTAATCAATTTATCCGTTTGGTGGATAAAAAAATCTTCGTTCGTTTTACTCAAACAATTTTGATGTAATGAATTGTATCGAAACGATAATAGTGTTAGAAAGGGAGCTTATCGTAAATGTGCAAACAATAGCGCACATGTTGGTCAGATTTAGGAACATTGTCCTTTAAAGACGATCAAACCGCAAGGCGTGAGTGAATCCGCGAAGTTGATTAAATGTTTTTAATCTTGTGAGAGATTCCAGAGATTTTAGATACTTGCTCAAAATTGCTAGAAGACCTCGCAATCACTATTAAATCATCTTATTAACTTTTTAAACCATTGTTGTATAAATAAATTTAGAAAAATGTAAGATATTCTTAAAAATTGACTATATTAAATTAATTATGTTTTACATATATTATATATAAATTAACATTAAACTTTCTCTTGTTATTTTTGTATTTTATAGTTATTGAAAACAAATTCTTTTATTTACAATAATTCACGATTTTTATTTATCTAGAATTATTCTTATAGACCTATTTAATATGAAAAATCGTTTCAATTTAACTTAAAACCGCTTTAAAATAGAAAAAGGAATTTACATAAAAAATAAAGTCTCAAGTGATAGAATGTAATCAAAAGTGAAAGAAATTGAAACTATAAATTAGTATGTTCAGCTTATCAATGCTGTTTAACCATTTGACCGCGGCGTAGTATTTTGCTATCGATCCGTTTACGAAAACAGGATATTTTGAAGACTACCGTTGATCTCTTTTCTTTTTAATGCAATCGATCGATACAATCTCCTTGATTTTAATTCTCGGCATTAAAAAGCACAATAAACTGCATAAAACAGTAAAAAAAAAAAAATCGCTGTGGAACACTTAATCTAAATTACTTGCTAAAGTTAAGCCGCATATCTACTTGCCTCATATGCATAAAATGGCAATTTATATAACTCCTTTTTGCATGCAAAGATTGGGATATCGTTAAGCTAATCATAAATGGAGTCAATGGGTTCGAACCGTGCGATTGTATCGCGCATAAGATTAATAATGTGCAAGTTAGCTTTAATAACGTATATTACCGATCTATTAAAAAAATAAATTAAGTACATATTTTAATATTGTATATTAAATTCGTAATTATCAGAAGATGCCGATCGCATCTTCAATCAATTTATTAAGAATTGGATAACACATTTTAGGAAATTTATTAGATTCGCGATTTTATTATCTTTGTGTCAATAATTCAAATTTCATTATACACATCAAGTGCTATGCTTAGAGTTTCCTTTAAATCGTGCTAATTGCGTAATAAATGCCTCGTGATTTTTCAAGAAACTATAAATTTTTGCCAGCGCGTCCCAGAGATCGTAGGCAATCACCCTCGATCGATTGCGCAATTTGCCCCGCTGAAATTTTTATCATGCACCAGAGTCAATCCCGCGCGAAGTTAATTGAGTTCGTTAAACGCTCGCAGCGAGGCGATCCGTAAGATATTCAGCGTGCAAATGCGATTCGCATCATCCCGCGGCGATTTCCACGGACGTGCTTAATAAACGGCGGTTTCGTCTGTCAGACGTTGGCCTTGCAAATAGTTCGGGGGGCCCGTTGGTAGCATCATCCCTCTCCCCTCCCCCCCCCCCGTCGGTGGATAGGCGGTATATACGGATACATATTGACACGTGATAAATCGTTAATGCCGACTCGCGCCGAGGCGCGCATTCACGCCCGAGGTGCGCTTTCAATTAGGCCATCGATAAAATCGCGCAACCTGTTATCCCGAGCCGAGCGTCGAACGCGAGATAGAGAAAAACACTTAGCCGCGAGACGCGCGCTTAATAAATTAATATTTGCGGGGAAGGCATCGATCGCGCGGTCCGTGCAGACGCGGCCCTCGGCCTGGCGAGGACTTGCGGAGTTGCATTAACGCGTGTATTTATTAAATGTGGCAATGCAATTTGCATCTCGCGTGCGTAAAATTCGTGCGCCGGTGGTGGTCTAATTGAATTCTTAAGCAACGCCCCCGGCCGGCGTATTCTTTTCGACGCAACGACAAACACGCTACGTAATCAAAGAGAACTCTCACGCTCGTCTCGCTAATCTTCGAACACGTACGGTGAACTTAATAATCTCCGAGAAGGAGAAGATATTGAAGTGACTTGACCGCTGATATAACATGACGATTACCTATTAAGATACATATTAATTATTTTCCATTGAATCGATATATTAATGTTGAAATCAAGTCCAAAGCATATTTTTTTAAACATAATTCTTTCTATTTAATTTAACATTATTGTTATTGTAGTAAAAGAGTTATGTTACGTGTCTGATGATGAAATATGAATAGAATATGAATAGAAATATTATAAAGTACTCAACGAATGATGGTAAGAGAGAACGTGAAGTTTGTAGTTTCAATCGAGTTTCAATTACAACAAGAAGTAATTAAAGCAAATCGTAATAAATAATGCTCCCGTTTGTTATACATGTATAAAGAGAAGAATTACATTGATTCATTATTTATTGTTTGCATCGTCATAACGCGAATGATAATTTTTCACTGGAAAATATAAAAATATCAAGACAATTTCGCAATAAATAACAACAGTTTCGTCGAGATTGTTTATCATCCTAAATTACTCTGTTATGAGACTGTCTTGCGAGCCTTCGATTTTGCTGTACTCGAATTACATTTTATTTACGGCTCCCGTGAATATGACAGAAGTAAGTTATCGACATACAAAAAAGAAGAAGAAAAAAATGTGTACGTAAAAATATGCACAAATGCGTATTAAATCGTGACGTTTTCGTGACGGATAAAAATTTGGAACTGATGGATAAAAACAGAAAAGCGAACGGTACAGTCTTAGCGGCGATATGGCACCCGGCTATGACTGAAAAGCCACGTCTGACCTTATCGGCCTACATAAAAAACTCGTAATTTAGGTAAATGACAATCGATAGCTATTTTCGAGGCACGTGCTAAGTGCGCGCTCTGACAAATGGTAACGTATTATGGAAAATGTATACCACCTACGAGCGTCACAATGTACGTATTTGCAAGACCTTATCGCACACGGACGGCTTATGACTTGACTTTCCTGAATCTACCGACGCCTTCGACAATACTTAAATTTTCATTGTGCTCATTATAGTCATCGCGATCATAAATATACAGCACAGTTGTTTCACGAGAAATTAAAAAAACAAGCCGAGACGGCAATTTTATCGTAGCCGTCATTTTTACATAGCTTCATATTCTTCCAGCTGCAAAATAATATTGCGGAGCCTATACAGCCGTATCCAAGAATATTTCCAAAATAATTTATATTAGCGATGCAGAATTTATTCTATTTATAAAGCAACAACGTTGCAAAGTTATTTGAATTTAAAATGCGTTTGTAATCACGAAAGTGGACTGAATTATATAAATTTGGAATGTCGCTCGATGTTATTCTACAGAAAATAATTTCTCTTGTCTTCATTTTATTTATAAATTTTGTTAATAATATCAAGTTTTTAATTAACAATCAATTTTCAAATATATATATTTCAAATATATACAATCAGTAATAAAAGATTTCAATCAGACAAAAATACTGTAGATTTTTATTTTATAAAATCAGAAAAATGATGCAAGATGATGTAATTATGGATACAGAAAGATATCAAAAGAAAAATTGAAGTTATTGAGTTATCATTTTCTGAAGCTGGATTGGCCGTTTCTGTAAAATTTGATTTAAAATCAAGGCGCGGTATGGTGGCGGATATTCTAGGAAAGTTACTCACCTTCGATGTAACGAAATCCCGATGGGAAACGATCTTTTTGATGCCACCGATGAAAATCCCGCGAGATGCGAGGGAAAAATGTGAGCGAAGGAAAATGAAAAGCGTTCCGAGATTGACGCGATGGCCCGACGACGAACGTAGTTCTTCTCGATCGCGCACTCAATCACTAGATATCCTTCCACCTGCGAATAGAGGTCAGCGATTCGTCCAGTTATCGTAGGTTTTTCGCACTACGGTTATTCCACCGTGTTCTCTTGCAGATTTTTTCCAGCCATTTCCGCCGATAATGAAAATGTCCCAAGCGACAACCGAAAATCGCACTCCGCCCGTTCGTCAAATAATTATATTCGCGAGTGACACTAATACAAGATCTGTATAGAAATTATGGAAGATAGATTGTGGAAACAGTTAAGCGCTCGTCACAGTGATTTTAAACAGAAATATATTTTTCTGAAAAAATTTAGACGATAATTTTCAATGAACTTTAGTAGTCTGAATATTAAATTTTCTAGAAGCAAATTATGACTGCGATTATAAGAAGATTATTTGAAAATGGATTTTATTTATTTAAAAAACAATTAGATATGCATTTCAAATGCGTATTATATACATAGAATAATTCCATAATATTAATCTCCTGGAAATCATGTTATTTACAAATTATACATCCAGAGAGTAATGGCAGAAATAATTAGGAGGATAATTAAAAAATTAGCATAACGTAAGTCTTTTTCCTAAACACGCCATTACATTAATTAACAAAGCACATATAATCCTGTTAATTTACGAGGATAAAATAAAAAAATCTTGAATTATACATGGATGCGACTACAACGTTATATATCTACAACGAATTAAATGAGGTCAAAAAAAGGTGGGTCAGTAAATATGACCTCGGTCCATTCTGACGTACGGGATAATATAGATGAGAAGGTGCTCTAAGCTAAGAGGCCCTACGTTTTATTTAATTCATTTACATTCAGTTTTTTCACTAGGTTCAATTTTTATAACTTAGCAGGTCGCGGAATCCTTGAGTGCCACTTAATGAAATAATGGACATTATATCTCTTTAGAACCGAGTGAATCGTTGTTTTTTTAAATTTCAAAAGTGGAATGGTTAGCAACAAATTGATCTACAACGAATATTTATAGAAAATGTTCATGGTTAAGGACCATTGATGAACGAAATCTTATAAATTTTATAATCTAATTAGAGGTTTTATAATACATAATCTGTAATTGTGTCACATGCGCAATTTATTTATGGAAAATAAATATTTGAAGAAGAAAGTTTTTGCAAAAAGAACCAGTTGTTCGATGAAAGATAAAGAACATTTCGATCGTGCAGCTCGTTACATGTATCAGCCAATCTATTGTGAAATTGTTTATATTTTCCACATTCGACATTAATAATCAAGACTCAAAGAAAACAATATAAAATAGTAATAAAAACAATATTTTAGGGAAATTCTTAGAAAGATCTGAACTCATTTAAAGAAAAATATTTGCATGAAAAAGCACATTTTGTTGACTAAGCTAATTTTAGAATTATCCCACAAACGGTTGATAAATATATCCTAATCACAGATGTATCATTCTTCATAGAAATTTAGTTTGACTTGATTTCAAAGAAAATTATTAGCCAAATTTAACGCATTTGTTCACGATATAATTTATATAAATCACCGTGAAGAGCGCGATCTATCTTGCTTTGGGTTCAACGACGGACACGCAAAGCTGAAATTTTATTTCTGGCTTATCGTTAAGTGCCTCCAGACGCACCGATAGCGGAGTGAAACGCGATAAACTAATTGCGATGATAAAACGATGACGACATTAAGAAAATAAAATCGGTAAATCGCGGAAGATCG